GGAGGCGGTTGAGGCGGGTGGGCGAACCGGCGAGGTTGGTTTGGAATTGACGCTTGGGTTGGAACCGGTGTCACGTGCGTGTCACGTGGTGCCGGTGAAAAAGAGAAGAATTGAGTTGGGTGAGAAATTGGCGTGTAAGATGGAGCTGGGGCTTGAGTACTCGGCTTAAGTGGTTTTGGCTTAATCGGCTTTTCTTTCTAGAAGCTTCTAGGTGAGATAAGTGAAGTTTAGAAGCCGTTGTTAATTGTTATTATGTTTTTTATTTTTTTTTTACATATATATTTCGAAAACTTTTTTTGGGGTTAATTTTTGTGAATGCGGTGCTGTACAAACATGGTCGAAATCGTGATATGTATAGAGGAAATTGGAAATTACAACATTATAAGTATTTATTGCAAGAAGAATGATTTTTATAAGTGTTTATTGCCAAGAGAATTATTTCAGACTTGTTGGGCCTCGATGCAGTTTCATTATTTATTACTAGTGTAAAAAAAATGTTATGTATTACGTGGGTTTTTAGTTAAATAAAATATAATTAATTAAGCTAAAAAAATAGTCGGTGATTAATAATCCATGACAGTTTTTGAATAATTATAAATGATACAATTGTATATAACCTGGAAGTTATAACAACGTGATAGTTTAAAAGTTGTGTAGATTAATCTTTCAAAATTGGTTAAATCTTTTTATTTTTATTACTTAGGATTTCGCATTAAATCTAATTTTTCCTGTCTTTTATATTTTTTTTTTATGAAGATTTGAACTGAAATATTTATAAGATTGATTAAGTCTTTTTATTTTTATTAGTTAGAATTTGGTATTGAATCATATTTTTTTCATATAGACTTGTTTTGAATATTCATTAAAAAAATTTAAAAGACTTAATGGTTAATTTTGATTTTATATGAAGTCATATTTTTATTCTAGTATAAACTCTAATGTATAAAAAAGAAATTGTGTATACTGAAAATAAACTTTTATTCATTATTAGTATAGATTTCACCATAAATTATATAATATTTTTACTTAGTTAATATGTATACAAATATATAACAAAATTGGAAGGAACAATTAATTATTTAATTTTCGCTTGTGAGTTTTGATGTTCTGGCGTCTCTTAGGCTTTTTTATTTATTTATTTTTTTACAATTTTTGTCGTACCCAAAAATATGCACACAATGAATGTTTAATTGAATGATGATATCATTAGCAACGTTCATGTAAAAAAACATTTTCTATAGATACTTTTTCCTTGAAATTTTATGTTTGCTATATCTACGATATGTATTTTATAATATATTATTTTATTAAGTTATAAGAAACTTCAATAGTTTTTCTAACCCGACAACGGTACAAAGTTGCATAAAATGGTTTTTATAATCTACTCTTAAGAAGCACTTTATATATAAGTTGGATCCAAAATTTGAAGGGCATCGATTGTCTAAAAGAACAACACATTAATTTTCCAGTTTCTCTCACTCAAATGTGCACATTTAATACTCACATCCAACAATCAAATCATATCCAATATGTATTTTATGCATAAACAATGATTCATAGCTTCGATTATAAGGTGAATGATTATAAGATCTGATTTGATATACAAAAATTTGGTCTAATACTTCCACTTAAATGGAACTATATGGATCTTATATATACAATTTTTGTTTTGGTAAATGAGCAGATTAAAATTCCAAACTAAACCGCAAAAAGAAATGTTTTTTTTTTTGAATATTTTGAATTCAAGGAGGAGAATTTGACAAAAGATGTAAACCATCTATCAAGGAACTTTCACTCTTAACAAGCATATAACAACATTAGTATTACCTCGTCTCTCTTATTTTTTCTACATCAACTATAACCTGTCAGAATAATTCAACCTATAAAAGATGGTCTTACCCTTTCATCAGGGTTGCCAAGAAACTTAATTGCACGAAGAACATGACAAAAGCGCCGAATCTCATTCATCCACTTTCCAAGAGTAGATTTTGGAGCAACCACCATATGAGGGCCTTTGATTCCTCTGAACTCATGCAAATAACCCAGTAAGGATATAGTTTGCAATGTTTTACCGAGCCCCTACAAATCACATTTATTTGCCATGACTTATCTAAATCAACTTAAAAACGCCTAAGCCTTAACCCCTGGGTGGGGCATCTAAATCAACTCACTTCATCAAATTGCATATGACAAAGCAACTGCATGCAATTTAATTAGACACAACTGCAAGCCCACCAAACACATACCATTTCATCAGCCTGAATTCCATTTATTCCATTCTCATACAAGCGTATGAGCCAATTTAGTCCAACTAGTTGGTAATCCCTCATCTTCCCTTGGATGCCTGTAATGAATTAAAAAAAGAAATTAGCATCCACAACACGTGAACCAAAACTTCAAAAATAATATAAATTAATAGATCCACGTATTTGTTGAACAACCCCCATCCCAACGCTAAAAATTTGTTGATCTAACAACAATCCATCAGATGTCAACAATAAAAATAAAGCTTCAAGGAAAAAGGACCTTTATCATGATTAAGCAAAATTTCATAAAACTTAATCATGTTAAGCACCTTGATGGCCTGCAATAGAAGAAAAAGAAAAGCAAAATTAGTGAGAAGATGTTAGGTTTAGAGAAGCGACTTCCAAATACTCACATAGTTAGCATTTTCTTCACTCTAGAATTCAACAAATCCATAACCCTGATGATGGTTGGTGACTCTATCTTTGGGAACATAGACATTAACTGAGACAAACTTAAAGAGAGTGAGTTTATTTAAAGTTAAAGCTAAGAAAATGAATGAATGACAATAACATACCAACTGGACCCGCTTGAACAAACAACTCCCACAATAACTTTTCACTTATTTGCGGTGCAAAGAAAAGGGCTCAACCCTAGAAAGTGCGAGAATGATGGACAGCAAAGAATGGGAAGTTTATACTGAAGTTAGATGAAAATACACATAGAAGGGGGGTTGAATATGTGTGTGTGAACAAAGGAGTTTTAAAAACATTTTCGCAAGGGACTCATTATTCGTCTAGTAAAAATATTATTGTGAATGCTTAGCAGTAACTGTGCAGGATCGGTTCAACAAATAGATTTTTACGTCTAAGAGTTTATCGTCTGCACAGGAAAAATGATTCTTAAATGAAAATCATTCATACAAATAATAAATTAAACAAGTGTGGTTTTCGTTTGAAGATGGTTATAATGGACGATAAGCATTGGACGAAGTTTTCAGTATATTAAATCGATTGAATAAAAGTGTGTCTAAAACATTGAAAAATAATGCAAGTATTTTTACATTGGTTCGCTCAACCTGAGCTAGTCTAGTCTCCCTCAAATGAAGGGTTCCACTAGATATTTAATGAAGTACATATAGTATTATTTGTTCAGCCTCTTCAGGCTCTCAGTGAGTATTATAGACCATCCAAGTCACGACCACTCCTGGTCAGCCAACTTTACTCATTGGCTATATTATTCTTTAATCAGCCTCTTTAGGCTAGCAGTGAGTATTCTAGACCACTCAAGTCACGACCACTCCTGGTCCCAAGTATTCTCAACTACTCCTAGCTCGTCAACTTCAGTCGCCGACACTAGTATTCTTTGATCAGCCATTTCTAGCTCTCAGTGAGTATTGTCGACCAACTCCTGGCCCGCTAACATCACCATTAGCGCTAATATTCTTTAATCATCCACTTCTGGCTCGCAATGAGTATTCTTTGATAAGCCTCTCCAGGCTTTTACAAGTATTCTTTCCCTAGCCTCTTCAGGCTTTACTAATGATAAATAAATGTTTTGGTTTGAGTGTTTGGGTTATTCTCACAGAGAGGATACATATGTTTGTACACTCACTAAGGTATACAACCTTAGTTTTACAAGGATTAAGTGTGTGGTTTACTCTCACAGAGAGGATACAAAGATGACTACACTTACTAAGGTTCATGTTCCTAAGTTACACTTAGAACTCCTTAGTCTACAGAGATGAATACACTATGGTAGATTTGATGGTATACGCTCTGTCTCTTGTTTCGTTGCTTCATGGGCTTGATATCACTCTTTTTCAATGCCAAAGCCAACCTTTCAAGGTTTGAAGTGATGATCTATATATGGTCTTGTAGAATTTGTCCGTTGCAAGTGTCCGTTGAAGTAGAATATAGTCGTTCATGACTAGTTTGATCTTTCATTTAATGCAGAAGATCTTGCATTAAATGTTGCTTCATGTTTGTAGACATTGCGTGAAATTTTCTTTGTCTTGTTAGCAGCTGTGCCTGAGTTTAGCAGATACCTAGGAACCTTTTTGTCCTTTTCTGGTCGTATAGTTGTAGAGCGTTGTCTGTATCTGAAAAAGTAATGTACTTTTTATGACACATGCATGCTTTTGCTTTTGCATGTTTTTTTTTCTTCTTCTTCTTCTCTTCCTTTAAGAGCTTTTATGTGATCGTAGACGATGCCTTATTTTGTCCTTTGAGACTTGATTCTTCATAGGTTTGTGTGGTAGTCGTCGTCTGCGTTTGTTATTCCATTTGCATCTCATGTCTTTACCTTTGTTTGATGCGTAGTTGACTTTCTTCTTATCTTTGACCAATGTTCGTCTAGTTTTTATGTTGCACTTGAGGTTGTCCTTGACACACTTTCGTCTGATATTAGACTTATAGTCATCTGGAGCACATATCATATTTTATCTATTCAGTTGGCTTGGTTTGTCTGATTCTCATGATGTGCCTTGCCTTGACTATTCTTCATCTAAGTTGACCATTGGGCTTCATTTGATGTTTAACCCATTTTTGTCTTATTCTTGATTTAGCCTTGTTTTGGCCTTTCATCTGATACTTCAAGACTTCGACTTGTAGTAGACCTCCTCTAATGTTTGTTGAATGTTCTTCTATCTTTTGTTCATACTTAATCTTGTTGCTCGACTAAACATCATTTGATTTTCTTGTTTAGTTCGTCCAGGCTTTGTAGATGTTGTATTTAATGCATTTGATCTTGCATTAAATGTTTCCTTGCCAAATTTGTGTTACGTGAAGTCTTTTGTACCGTTTGCTCACTTCTATGTCTGACTTCAATCATGACCTATGTATATCTGTACTTTTCCTGGCATTGCAGCTGCAAAGGCGTTGTCTTTTTTGTAGCACAAGCTTCTCAAACCTAAGAGAGTGAAGAGTAGCTTCGGCCAAAGGAGAAGACCAAACTAGGCAGCCATGGTGCCATTTTCTCACTTTAAGATTTTCAAAAATGTTTGATTTGGTTTAGTTAGGTTCATCCAAAAAGGTTGAAACCTAGCTAAATCAAATCTATGAAAAATTAGGAGCAAAATGAATCCAATATGTAAAATTTTGCCTAAGCCCAATCCTGGCCCAATTACTAATCACACCCTTAAGCATTGCTAATTGCCACCCCCACTCCTACTACTGAAAAATAGAAAAAGAATGTACTTCTAGGTTAGGTTAAATGGAGTCAAAGTTCCCAAGTAACATACCTTAGAAACAGTATACAATGAGAAATAAAAGCAAATAAAATGTCTCATAAATACAAAGGCAAAAATAAGCCTATACAAAGAAACTATGTACAATTTATATACAATTAGAACTAGGCCTTTTCTTCATGATAGAGTAGTCCAAGTGAAGAATATCTTGGGCTTAGAAAGCCCATTAGTCTTCAAGCTGTCCAACTCTTCCTGTATATGCCTGGTCATAGCTCTAGTAATTGGGCCCTTGGCCCATGGTCCATCACTTCTAATGGTCAAGGAGAGAAGTTTGCATGATGTTCGGGGTGAACAGGTGTCGGTGTGCTCTGATCGGCACAACATGAGAAGGACTTGGAATGGTGGGGATACTTCTGGAGGGAAGGGTCGAGTCATGGGGAAGAGAGGTGTGGTGTCCGAGGGAATGGAATGATCCTTGTGTGTGTTTGGCTTGACTCTGAAGGTTTCCAAGAGGGATCTTGGTTTTTTAATGTCTCATTCTCCTCCCTCAGGGCGGCCATTTCCCGTGTGACCTTCTCCCTTTGTTGTCTCATGGCGACCGTTTCTTTCTTTAATTGTCGCACGGTCTCTTAGAGGTCGGTCTTGTCGACCACCTCGACGTGGTCTTCCTCGAATCGAGGGGATCTTTAACTATCGTCGTCTTCCTTGTTGCTACCATCGAACCACTTGATCGGTTCGTCTTCTCAAAGCTTTTGGTTCGGCCCCACGGTGGGCGCCAAAATGTACTTGTCTAAGGGCACACTTGTAATCTTCTGGTAGTCTGAGGATTGAACGAGAGCTTCAGGTAGATGCTTTAGAAGGGGGAGGTACCTGCAAAAGGCACTCCGACGCTCAAGTCAGGACAAGCACAAATCTCGATGATAATAAATGAACAGTGACATACCTCGTTTTACGTTACCTATTTATACTAGTTGTGATGGGCCTTGAGCGTGGTGGGCCTCTTCTAACACTTACCAAATTAGGTAATACAGTGCTAATCGGCTGAGTATGCCTTAATCACGTGTATATCCTTATTAATCATGATTTTTGTCTTAATCGTTGTATTCGGTCATCTTTAAGACTGAGGTTGTCCTTTCGGGTCTCGGCCTCTTGCCGAGCTGAGACGTCATTAAGAGGGCCAGCAAGTTACACTACCCTGACCAAGCCTTTGATGGTCTTGTAGGCTCACTATCTCGGCCGCTGCCGTATCCGAGAGCCGTGTCGAACTAGCTACGGAAGTCCTTATGTTCCGGTTATCTCGGGGGCCGAGATGGCCGAGACTAGTGCGTGAACAGCTTTTATCTCGGCTGATAGGATCCTTTCGGTACAATTTCTTTACTTGTACTTCTGTTTTAAGATGTAATCATTTGATATAATAGTTTTTTATAATTAATGAAAAGATTATAATCAATTTATCTTCATACTTTTCAGAAACTCATCAAAAAATGCTCAATTTGGGAGTTTCAGAGAATTGAGTCAGGTCTTGTGATTTGTGATGGTGATTCAATGATTTCAAACATTATTTGTTGTAGTGGAAAGTAACATCCATTATACGTTATTTTAATTAAAAAATAAAACTTTTAAGCTAGATATTTAAATACCAAAATAATAAGATTATGAAAGGACTAAAAATAACCTCTTTCCAAGTTTGGATGCTTCCTTACAATCAAGATTGAATAACATCTTTGTGTAATTGATACAATTTTTAAGCCTAACTATATCTACACTTGGAGCACAAAGAACCACAAAATAAAGAAATGCAAACACACTTTAGTTTAATAATATATCTAAATCATAAAATAAATCAACAGAGTAAAAATCTCAAAAAAAATTGAAATTAGCTAAATGAATGACAACAACATTTTACATTTCCCCATAACAAAAAATGCATTTAGCTCATCAACATAGGGTTCAAATAGAATACACTTTATCTTATATCTGTAACATAACCAAATGTTTCATTCAATTTTAGAAGACTAATTGAAATTTAAATATAACATTTAAATATAACAGATTTATGTTTAAAACTTGAAATTATTTTCCTTCAGCTTGATTATTATATAGTGTGTATGAATAAAATTTAGTGATATCTTGGTAGTAATTTATAAACACCTAATAGCCACACAAAAAATCACGTAAAATATATTATATTACTTATATATTTAGAATTCTATACTATATATATATATATATATATATATATATATATTTTTATTGATCTTTTTTAATATATGATTGTCAATTTT